CAACTTAATTTTAACTGCTACATTTCCATTTTTCTGAGTTTATCTGCCGCAAATATGAATCATATTGCGAGATGGAAGTATGGATAAATCTTGATGATGAATTGAGATACGAACTTCATCATTATTATTGAAATGTGATAATGAATAAGCTTGATGCGCATGAACTTCGTAATGAGCTATCGACTCATCGAAAGCGACACCTGAATGAATAATTTCTTTCATTTTGATGTAAGTAAATGCCAAGACCAAGTGCATAGCGATAAGATGGTATAGTTAGCAGCACGTGCGTGCGCGCCTCGGCGAGAACAAGTAGGAAAGACCGAGCGCGCTGCTATAGCATGCTACAGCAGCATGCTGCAACAGTATGCTATAGTCAGCGAGTTTACCTAGGACTGAGGCAGCGATTAAAAACGCGCGAATCATAGAGAGAAAGCGTGAAGGAAAAAAAGGGAAAAAAAGCAAGCGAAGTAATAGCGAGGACCAGGAGCGTTTATTAGATGTGAGCGCCCATTTAGTAAGCCTGCAGTTATTTTCTCTGACATTAATTTTGTTTTCGATAGTCACATATATATCTAGTATTGAATTTAGAAACCATTTGAATATTAATACAGTAGTGAGAATATCGAAATTACAGGAAATATTAAATTTACTGAACTCGTTCTACCATACTGTAACGAAAGCTCGTTCGTTAACTATTATTTAAGGTGGGCAAGTGAGGCGCACTCGCACATAGTAATTGAGGCGGGAAGGGGGAAGAGGCAAAGAAAATGAAATGGTTAATAAATTTATACACATATAACACATTCGCATTTAAACAAATATAATTTCAATCAATTCAAGGTCACATTACACTTAAATTTCGCAATTACCACACATTAATACCGCATAATGATAAGCCGCATTACACACTTCAATTGAATAAACACAACGTCGTTCTTAACAACTATTACGAAAGAACAAATTAACTAACTTATCACACCTACAAATCTATAGAAAACACAACGCGAGTCGCCTGGCAGATGACCGCCTTGATGACAAACCGATTGAAGCTATTTAGCTAAAAGAGGAAGTCGCCCGGCGAGGGATGGCCTGGACGATTTTTCTCTGCACGATTTATTACCCGACCGTCATTAGGGCAGGTAGGCGGCGTGTTCACGCCTTGCTACTCACTTAATATTAAAATTACGCGCAGTGCCGTCGATAAAGAGAGAGAAAGAAAGAGAGAGATTAAATTGTAAACTAGACCTTGGATGCTGGAGCGGGAGTCCTGGCTACGCCCTGCGCACGGTGTTGCAGGTCGTCGCTGGGCAACTCCGGCTCCGCTCTACGCACGGTGTTGCAGGTCGTCACTGAGCAACTCCGGCTGCGCCTTGCGCACGGTGTTGCAGGTCGTCGCTGGGCAACTCCTGCCGGCTTCCTTTCGGCCCTCTGTCCTCGGCTGCACTTCTATCACCGCTGGCTGTCCACCGTCTAGCTCCGATCGACTCCGAAAACCTTCTCAGTTTCTCCTCGACTAACTACTGTCTGTGTCGCTCGTTTTTCCTCGTGATCCACAGCTTCTTCGTCGATCTTTTCTCTCTCCCACTTGACCTACTTATTAGACGGCGCGCGACCAATGCGCTTATTGGTTCTAAACGCGTGCCTGCCTAATATTGCGTAGGGCACGCACGCCCCCGACTGTTTCTCTCTTTCTTTAACATCTCTATACTCTCTCTGTCGCCAGCGCACCCGCTTCGGGCCTGCTCGGCCCCGCTCGGCAATCTCCGTCAGCTGAAACAGAGACCATGCATTAGACGCATTCTTAAATGCGCCTAACGCTAGTCACTGTGTCTTGCCGAGAAAGAGGGGAACTTGGGAAAATTCCGACGAGAACAAACGCAGCGCTTGCTCTCGACACAATACTGTAATTCACTTGAATTTGGTTGTGTAAAAGACGTGTATACATTTTTAGCCAAGTCGGTTACCCATATGGTGATTTGTTTTGTTGTAAATAGTGCTGAGCGATTTCTAAACGAAGCTTTTTTTGCTCTGCACTAAGCAACTTCGTAATTAACTTTGCACACACGTGTATCGTTTGTAAATTTGAGAATAACATTTTCTAAATTATAGTTTTTGGTATTCTGAGGTTTTCTTTTAATTCTTGCACAGTCATACAGTAATCTTGTTCGATCGCAAGTCACACCCACTCAATATTATTCAATGTTTTAGTCGGTATAGGTTGGCTTAAACGAAAATCACTATTAACAAAAGTACGGCCTCCTTTAAAAGGATTATATCACTCTTTTATTCATGTTATACTCATACACTTATTTTCAAAGGCCTACATAATCTGAATAGTTTCTGAATTAAGTTTTCTGAGTTGAAAGCAAAATTTGATACAAATTTATAGATTTTATTTTTCAATAATTTTTAGCAATCACTAAATCCTCCCAACTCAAAAATAGCTTTGTAAACAAAAACACGCTGCGCATGAACTATACGAGGTGTGTTCAAAAAGTAACGAGAATTTTTAAATTTCGCGGGTTTGGAGAGTCCGCTTGTATAAAATTTTTTTTTATTATGTTGGTACACATGCCCCTGAATTACGATAAAATTTTCAGCAATATTCATTGCTTACTTTTTAAGTGGCAGCCGCTAACGTTAGACGTGTTTTTCGAGCTCGGCGATTTTCGTTTGTGAAAAAAAATGGATCAAAGAATTTGTATTAAATTTTGCGTAAAAAATGAAATAAAGTGTAGTAAAGTTTGTCAAATGTTAACAAAGGCACATAGTGAGTCTGCTATGAGTAAAGCAAGGATTTATGAGTGGTATAAGCGTTTCCAAGATGGCCACGAAAACGTTGAAGATGACGAACGACCCGGACGCCCAAGCACATCAACAACCGATGAAAACGTGAAAAAAGTGAAAGAAATGGTTATGAACGATCGCCGAATCACAATCAGAGAAGTCGCTGATGATATTGGCATATCAGTTGGCTCATGCCATCAAATTTTTTCGAATGTTTTGGGTATGAAACGTGTGGCAGCAAAATTCGTTCCAAAATTGTTGAATTTCGAACAAAAACAGCGGCGAATGGAAGTTGCTCAGGAGTCGCTAAATGAAGTCAATAACGATGCAGTTATTAACTAAAACGTGTTATAACAGGAGACGAAACATGGGTTTACGGATATGATGTCGAAACTAAGGCTCAATCGTCCCAGTGGAGGCATTCTGGATCGCCAAGACCGAAAAAGGCTCGACAAGTGCGGTCGAATGTGAAGGTTATGCTCACTGTGTTCTTCGATTTTAATGGCATAGTGCATTATGAATTCTTGCCACAAGGTCAAACAATCAATAAGCAGTACTACCTACAAGTTCAACGTCGTTTGCGTGAAGCAATCCGAAAAAAACGCCCGGATTTGTGGCAAAACAATTCATGGCTTTTGCACCACGATAATGCGCCTGCTCACACTTCATTGCTTGTTCGTGAATTTTTGGCCAAAAATGAAACTGTAACGATGCCTCAGCCTCCATATTCGCCAGATATGGCTCCATGTGACTTTTTTCTATTTCCAAAAATAAAGAGAACATTAAAAGGCCGTCGTTTTACAAGCATAGATTACATTAAAAGCGAATCGCTGAAAGAGCTAAAAGCTATTACAAAGATCGAGTTTCAAAAGTGTTTCGAGGATTGGAAAAAGCGTTGGCATAAGTGTATTGTATCCGAAGGGGACTACTTTGAAGGCGACAACATTAATGTAGATGAATAAATAAATATTTTTTTCATAAAACGAAAATTCTCGTTATTTTTTGAACACACCTCGTGCGTCCAACAGATTAATAGATTCATGAGATTTCACTATTCAGGTTCATGCACTGCAAAAGTCAGAGATATAAAGGTAGATCTGATATTTTCCGGGCAGATCTTGTACGAGTATGTATAAAAATAATACTATAATATTCAGAACGGATAAAATAGCTAGTAGTATACTTATTTAAGGGCTTGAATTGCAAGTAAGATTTGTAGATAGGTGATAAAGATATTTATACAAAGACGATAGGTTATTTACAGACAGGATGCGGTCTAGAGTTTTAGAAAGTTCTGTTGATCTATTTTATAGAATATAGAATCGTACTAATACAAACACTGATCTACTCAATAATAATATTGTGAAACATAACTAAAACCAATTTCTCATAGATGATACTAAATCACATTCATACTAGCCTTTTTAGGGAAATTTTCGACCTAAGGATATTAAAAACATGTAATAACGTGATAGGAAAAATTCTAGGCTTATTCTGAAGATATTACGAGCTGTGATGTTATACATATAAAATAAAGGGTTCAAGTCACACGGGAAGGAGAAACATCTTTTCAATTATATTATGATTACTTAGTGGAATTGGTATAGCGCCACAAATAACTTAGTTGTAGAATCCTAGATTCAGAATTATTTTCGGAGATAGGCCTGAAAAACGTGCTTACTTTTAGGAAAGTTGTGTAGAAGTAAGTGTTTTTGAGATTTACAAGCATCTTACAATTATAGCTTTCATAATATTAATAAATAATCTATACGCTAATTATAACTGAAGACACAGAACCATGTTTGCATATAAAAACATGAAATTTGTGAAAAAGGTTATATGTTAATAATTGTTACATGAATTAGAGAAACAACAATAAAGTGATTAAGGGATTTTTGTAATAAAAATAATTTTAATCCGACGCGTTCAATTTATTACTTCACCCTCTTCCACCCTTAAGAAATTACGTTTAAAAAGATCTTGGGATGCTAATTAAAAAATTGTAGAATATTATCTGACGTATTATCGAGAAGAACATGAGTTCAAACATTGATTCTAAAGTATATTGATGTTACATCACGTGCGTGATCAAAAAGAGCTGATCTTAACATTTGCGAATGTTTCATCACGTTTATTCTGAATTCCCCTATCGATCTGATATCTCTCTAGTTTAGCTACTAGTATATGAGCTGCTTCTTGATTTTTATACTTACAGTGCCTAGTATTATATAATATCTGACGTTGTCCTTGTTCCATTCCAGCTCCTTGATCTATCGTATTATTCAATATTTCTAATTTGCATTGCAAGTCAGAAGCTTTGATATTTTCTAAATCTTGAAAAAACAGATATTATTAGTTATTAATTGACAAATTTAATAAAGCAATATATATTAATTAACACATTTCGAATAAAATTTAAACAATATGTTCGCAAAATATCAATATTAATAAAATCTTTCAAATCGCCCTAAATTATCGAAATTTTTAATTTAGCTCTGTACTAAATCGTACCACGAGGAGTTTACTCTCATAATTAATTGCGATAGCAAACAATAAACTGTACGCTATTGGAGTTACTTGCTTGCAAATAACGTTTAATATCATTTAGATACTTTTTTGGACGATATAAATACTCTATACGATATAATACTCTCGTTTAGAATAGGGCATTGTTGCACAAACGTTTCAATTATGATTTCGTTTATAACAGATTTATTTTGATCATTATTTTTCATTTTATCGATATTTTTGCAAAGCACCAAAAATTCTTATTCATTTATGACGTTACATCACTTTTTACGCAAATAATATCGTTTAAATTTTCGTCACATTGTTCTCTTAAAGTCGCGATAGTTTTATGATGTCGGAAACAGATCAGGCTATATAAAAGCGGGAAATTAAAATTTTTATGGAGTGGTAATTTCCTCAATTAGAGTGATGCCTAATTAAAGTCTGACCTTGTTCTTCATGATGCGTGCTACCCTTATGGGTGTAACATTTTATAGGTTCATTTCATGTGTTTTGCCCTATAAAAGAGGTAAGAGAGCGCCTGTTAGGGGACTTAGTACTCCACTCCGGAAAACTCCAGAAGTCTCTGTATCGCTTGTTCTGATTAATAAATATTTAAACTAAAGTACCATTTGTCATTTATTCTAAATTAGAAAAGGTCTTGCGCCTACTTAATACAGTTACAATCCATTCCTGGATTCTGCAGTACGAGTTATACAATGAGTCAACCTACAGGTAAATCTATTTTTATTAATCATTACTTTTTCTAGTCCCCGCCTTAGTTTCATTGTCAGCCTGCTCTTACTTGTTAGTTTCATTCCCGTGATAAAACGCTTACGCGTTGACCGAAAAGAGACAGTCGCGATTGAGTAACTATTGTCAATCCGCGTTCGTTGCATGAGACGTAACAGTTTCATTAGATTCATTTTAACTAGATTATAAGACCATGACGAGTTTATCTTAATCGATTTTTTTATTTGTCAATAAATCTATTTTATTGATAAGATTAATTATTAATTGTTTCAGACATAGTTTCATAGTCGTTTTGTAATTTAATTTGATCCTTGTGACAAGATTTTAGGTCATATACAACAGCCCTTTCTTAATCGTGCGTTCTTTTTTATTTTTCACTAAATTTTTCGACAACTAGCGAGTTACTCTGTTCATTTAAAATTATTTCCGAAGAGCACTCGCTAAAGTTATAGATTGCACGTTTAATGTTCGACATATTAATAGTTACTCAAAATGCAATCAAACGAATGTAAAAAGTACACCTAAAGATATTAAATTTAGTGACAGCACATTACAAGATTTATGTTATCGAGATGAATAATAGTTCTCAAATTAGTCATTTAATTTTAATAATTGCAAGATAGTTTTTTGGATAGATTATGATAAATATATATTTGCTTTATATTATATATAAGAATTTACTTTAATTCTTTTAGTTAGTCCAATACTGACTATTTTCTCAATCTCATTTTTATTTTAATAAATGAAACAGAATTTATTTTTGATAGTATACAAATAAATTAATATTTTAGAAATTAAGATATATTTTAAAAATAATTGTAATATATAAATATTACAATTATACTAGGATTTATTTTAATCCATATCTCAAATGAACAAATACTAATGAAATTAAAAGAAAAATTTGATATTTTAATACTTATAAAAATTTCACATTAAATAAATATCAAAGTAATAATATTGAATAATATACTCGTAAATTGCAACGATAGTCGATGCGATTAATCGATCCGTTCGCGATTCGGTATACTCGCGATGCTAGTACGAACGACGAAGAGAGAGAGAGAGGGCGGGCGAGAGTTTAAAATAGTCAGTTAACCCTCAGCTGGTACTTGTATAGTATCGCCAATTATTTTGCAGTGTTTCGCAGTTTCTTACAAAGTTTTCCTGTGATTTTTTAATACCTGCGAGTATAGCGAGGAAGCCAAGCAGCAGCAGCAACATTACAGCAGCAGCAAGCAAAGCAGCAGATTTTCAGCGAGGCAGCGCAACTGATTAATCAGGAGGAAATCGTTGGCAGAAAAAGATTTCTCTTCAACGATTACGGCAGATCACCATAATTGCACCGCAGGGTAGGTGCATCTCCTCTTTTATTGCTTGACAAAATACTATCGAAAGTATTTTGTCTATCGCGAGCGTTATTTTTTGTATTCGCGCTGAGCGTTAGTTTTCGCGGCATAAGTTCGAATTCTCTATCTCCCTCATCGTATTATTATTAATCATTGTAAATCCTATTCGCATGCGTTAGCCTTTCGACCCGTAAAAGACTGTAGTTATTTGAATTAAACATTATTAATTTTATTCGCCGTATTACGTCATTTCGTTTCCTAATAGTTTTGGAGATCTACAAATGATTAAGTTTTAATCCGATATCATCTAGATGATTAGTCAGATTAAGCATTAGGTCACTGACATCTAAGATAGATCAAGTATCTTAAGTCAAGTGACTTAAAGTGAGTTCAACTCGGTTGGAAAGAAGACACTGGAACGAAAGTATTAAACGTAAAGGCGAATACACTTATAACTATACGTATTTAACGATGCGACGGTTAGCTCTGCATCGTGGAAGTTTGTGCGTTAATAAATTCCCTATTTTACTAGATAACCGCCCCTTACAAAATTTATTTAAATTATGCACCGGGTGCAGGGTTTAGTGATATTAAATGCTCTACGGTATCAGCCAAATGATTCAAGTGGAGCTCAAATTTCTTAAGCTAGTATCAAAAAGGACCATATTATGTTTATAATTTTTATCCAAGTAAACAAATGTATTTGCGAGCTCAGAATACAAATGAATTCACGTATTTCATTTTCTAGCTATGCATTTCAGCGTTTAATCAAGCGCATTCCTTTATTTCGCTGAGGCATTATAAATAACACCATTTTATAGACAAATATAAATAAATAATTAACGAAAATTTCACAAATTAGTGCAAGTTAAATTAACAGGGTCCTATCGCAGTTGCTATATATAACCTCTGGTTACTTTTTATTTTATTTTTTTGTATTGTTGTAGGTTTCTCAAAAATTAAGTAAGAATTCGTTTGATAGTATTAATAAAAAGCTAATAGAATTTATAATACTCTTTTATTTATCAAAACCAACATATTCCTTAGGAATAATAATAAGATAGACTAAAATTTACAATTACGAGAGGGGGTCAATAAGTCTTTACAAAAAGAAGGAAAAAAAGTTTTGCGTATGTAATTTGTTTTTATTTTTCAACATAATCTCCTTAAAGGTCGATACATTTTATTAAACGGCCTTCCACTTTTTTTAAGCCATCAGAAAAATATGATTTCTGAAAACCCTCAAAATAGGCATTTGTTTCGGCGATGACTTCTTCATTCGACGTGAGCCGTTGTCCAGCAAGCCATTTTTTGAAGTTAGGAAATAAGAAAAAGTCACTGAGAGCCAAATCAAGCGAATATGGTGGATGATCAATTAATTCGAACTTTAAATCGTTAATTTTTACCATCGAAACTGCACACGTGTGAACTCGAGCATTGTCTTGAAGAAAGAGGCATTTTTTTTGTTCAAGTGAGGACGTTTTTCTTAGATTTTTCCTTTCATCTAAACTAATAATGACGCATAATATTGCCCAGTGATCGTTTGGCCCTTTTCCAAGTAGTCGATGTAGATGATTCCATACGCATCTCAGAAAACCGTGGCCATAATCTTGCCAGCTCACTGTACTGTCTTTGCCTTCTTTGGAAGTCTCCTGCGGTAATCCATTGTTTAGACTGTTCTTTGGTTTTAGAAGTGTAATGGTGTACTCATGTTTCGTCTACAGTTACGAGTCGACGCCAATAGTCTTCCGGATTACGATGTATGCGTGCCAAAAGAGCCTCAGAGGTGACCACACGGGTTCGTTTCTTTTCAGCAGTGAGCAAACGCGGCACTCATCTTGCTGATATTCTTTTCATCCCCAATTTTTCATGCAAAATTGAAATGATTGTACCCTTTAATACCCGTGTGGCCTCAACTAATTTTTGGAATTTTAATCTTCTATCACTCAACACCATATCGTGGATTTTGTTTACCATTTCGGGCGTACTCACTTCTACGGGACGTCCTGAATGAGATTCATCTTTTGTTGTTGTACGGCCGCGTTTAAATTCATTTACCCAGTTATAAACAGTCTTAAACACAGGGACAGACTTGCCATGACCGGCGTTCAACTCAACTGTGATTTCTTTTGGTGTAATGCTTTTCAAATGAAAATGTTTTATCACCGCTCGAAACTGTTTTTTTTCATTTTTCAAATAAACCAATAACTTCTTGTTCAACCAACACTCACAAAACAACGACTTAATGAATCGAGCTGAAACTTTGTACGATATCTAGTTAGTAAATTTGTTTGCCAAAAACATTATAATTTAAGCGTGACGAGCGCCATCTCTTGGATTTTGTAAAGACTTGACCCCCTCCCCCCCTCGTATAAAGGCGAACACACGTTTACTCATACGTGATTAACGGAGCGGCGGTTAGCTCTGCATCGTGGGAAATTGTTCTTAGACAAACCCCAATTGCATCAGTTAATCCACCCCGTTACAATCTTTCAAATTAGAAAAACATTTTTTCAGATTGACATCATTGAATTGGAACACTATTTTATTTCCTAATTAATCTAATGTGCAGAAACCCTTATTGTTTATGAATTGGAATAATTTAGATTGTGAATTGTAAACAACGTATTAATGAAAATTTTAACGGGTTTAAAAACTTTTTGAACAAAAGTTGATTTGTGAAATTGGCGTAAAATCAATGTTTTCGATGTTCGTCGATAGCG